CACAAATTAAATAATTATTAACGAAACAGCAAATACAAAATTGCAATTAAGAAATAAATTCCGTCCGTCATCCTACTCTTCTCATCAAACAAAAACATTTCAATAAATCTTCATAACATCCCAATACACGAACACATTCATGCCTTTTGAAAATGATTTTCTAATGATTGCCCTTTTGGAGACCAAATCATTCATGTCATTACTCAAATATACGCTTTACAATCGATGAATAAAACTTTAAATCCATGACATATACAAATCAGCAATGATAAATGATAGTGCTATTCATAGTGCTTTTATTTCATCTGTATGTATAAATGTCAAAATGTAGCACATCATCTGATGTAGCACGTAACTACTATAAAACTCAAATAGAAGGAAAAGTTTCATTTTTGAAATTACAGAAAGTAAAACATCACAAAATAAATGACACCATTTTTAAAATTAATTGAGTAATTTAAATCAGTTGTTAAAAGAAATTATACCGACTCCGTCGTACTTTATGCTGCTTTTATAAGAATACAACAAGAACTCGAATTGTTCATAAAGTAAACATAAAGACTAAAAAAAGTTTCATTTATATATTTTGCATCAGACTAGTTTGCAATAATCTTAACAAGGAACGAAATAGGCCTAACTGAAATTAATGCTTAATAACATATTTTTTTAACCAAGACTGAAGTCTCAAATATGGAACATGGGTTCTTTTTCAGTTTTAAAGAAGAACTAGAAAAATGTCACTTTGCTATTTTGTAATTATTCGGGTAACTGACACTAATGCTAAGCGTTTTACCCAAGATGCAAGCCTCAAAATTTGATTTTGTGTCTTTCATGAGACAAATTGGAAAAATAAAAAGTTTTATTTTTATATTTGTAATTATTGGAGTAAATTAGTCTAACACTAACAGCAATGTTAGATAACTCGTTTCAGCTAATGTAAAAGTTGAAAATTTAAACAATGTATTTTTAGGGGCAAATAGAAGAACAAAACAAAGCTATATTTCGATATTTTAAGACTATTAGGGTAATTAGCCAAATTGAAAGTGGTACTAAATTACATGCTCGCATGATTTAACATCGTGTTAGCACAACATAATCGATACTGGTGTTTATGCCATTAAATCGTAAATAGGTAAATTTGTGCCGATGGAGGACTGTGGGGATGTTTAAAGTGATGAATTCGTTTGGGTGGACAGACTAACTACTACCATAGTTGAATTCGAGAAAGATTTATCAAAAATAATTATTTATATATATATATATATATAAATAAATAAATACAAGAAAACACTAAGAAAGTTAAGAAAAATTTAGATAATAAGTTTTTTTTTTTTTTTTATAAAATGTTGTTTGTTGTTTTTTTACTTATTATTTCNATATATATATATAATCTTTCAAATAATTATTTTCATTGAACACATTTTATAAAATCATGTCAATAAATTTTTCAATTGGGAATTTATGTAAAGAACTTTTAGCATTATTTTTTAAGCATGTTAAGTATTCTATATACTATTTATACTAATTCAATACTTTAAAAACGTCTTTAAGTTGGTGATATAAAAATTATTTTTTAAGTATTCTATATACTATTTATACTAATCCAATACTTCAAAAACGTCTCTAAGTAGGTGATATAAAAATTTATTTTAAGCCCTCTATTGGATCAGCTTGCGTAATTTTACCAATTGGTGCGGTTTTAAAAGAATTTTTTCATAACGTATTTTATTTCAAAAAATTTCAACTTCCGCTTTAGAATAATTCAATTGTTTATAACAATTTTATTTTTTTAAGAAGCAATAGCAAAACATTTCAGTAAACATTTTTAACTTTTACAAATATTTAAATTAAATATTATCATGATTTAAAATAAAATTTGAATTGTAAAGCAAAATTTCAAACATTTTATGACAGACATCATGATAATTTCCAAAAGTTGAAAGACACTCAACTTGTGAAAGGAAATACTTACATCAAAATTAATTACACCGCTGATAAAAATTTTTAACGACTTCTTGGATTTATATTTAACTAAGAACAGCTCTCAAAACAACTCACATTTCAGAGTAAAATTATAAATCCCTTTCAAAAATTCAGATGTTTATCAAATTCTTTTTATGCATGCCTTATTAATCACTGTCAACTTGAAGTACGAATAATAAGATAAACAATTTTAATCTCTATTTTCCAGAATGAAACAAATTTATTATTTATTAAATGAAGTTTACCGAGTTTTATTAACAACGTTATTAAAACTAGAAAAAAATTTGTGATGAAGAGATTATAAAAGTTTTAATTACAAAGCACGCTTTTAAAAGAGAACATTTAATTTCTAGATATTAATTTGCGTTTTGAAAAATAAAATGTTCTTTAATATTTCGTACTTTGTCAACACCACTTGATAATTAATAACGGAGAGTCTATACATTTTATTTATGCTGCATTTAATACGGAATTATAACATTTGATTTGATAACCCAACATATATTTAGTTCAAGCATTCTTCTGTTTACTCAAAATGGATTTCTTTTTCAAAATAGTAACTTCTAAACAATTGGTTTTGTGGCACGCAGATATTTCATTTTAACGATATCAAAAAATAATGCACAAAAAGGGCATGAAAGTTGAAACATTATTGCAACTTATATTTTTGCCCCTGTTCATTTTTTGTACATATTATAATATTTTGAGTTTTATGTATAGAATTTCTTAACTAATATGCTTATATTTAAAAAAAGTTAGTTAAAAATTGAAATTAAAAAAAAACTAAAAAGAACATTAGGAATTATAGAAAAGAATAGAAATTATGAAAACAAGTTGGATTTTTTTAAACGTCTTTTAGGTAAGTAAATGCCATTTGAAAATTTATACTGTGTTTTAATTTAAGCAAATTTTTACATCAATATTAATGCTAAATTATGTTTACAGTGTTTAATACTTGTGATGCCACAATAGGCATTACATATTTCTTAGCTTTTAAAATTTCTTTAATTACTAAAACTTACTTTTTAATCATTAGTAATCGAATTATATTTAAATTAAATCAATTAGTTAAATTTTATAAAACGCAATCATTAAATATTTATTCTTTTCCTATCGATCAATGTAACGGCTAACTATTAATATCAATACTAATGTAGACTCATTAATTCGCTGTCGCGCCTAATCAAAAACAAAAATCTATAAATAACTCTTTATTCTGAAATTTTCTTACCTCAAATATGTTTCAGTTACATGGTTATACTAATTCTCTCAGTTGTGTTAGCAATTCGCGATTACCAAGGTATTTTTCAAACCTAATATTGATTATGGGAGTTGGCTTTATTTTTGGCTTTGTTATTTTTCGATAAATCGCCAACCATGGATCTCTTCTCATGATTCTAACTCTGTGTGCTGGGAACAATTCAATTACTTTTTAATTTGGCTTTTGAATTGGCAGATCATGGGGGATTTGTCTCCCATGGCCTGTCCTTATTAATATCATTATGCGAAATTTAACTTAGAATGTCTTATAGATAAAATTATAATTTGTATCTCGAGTTCTATAAATACTACTAAAAAGTTTTATTACAATTATGATCCAGTTTTCATCTTTAACTGTCATTTTTCATTATTCTGTTTTTCATCACTATATTCAATTAATCAATTATACCATATAACTCCAACCGTACCTAATTTCATCTTAATATAACTTAACGTATTTTATGGAATTTTTTATATCAGGGCCGTTTAAAGGAAATAAATTATTTAACTTACGAGCATAAGTCACATGTTTATATTTCTATAAGCATTTCCTTCAGTTTTAAAGGTATCGCTTCTTAATTATTTAAGTCCAAAAATTTTTTTATTCGCATTTAAAAAAATTTTGTGCGTGGTACTCTGCAAAACTGCAAAATCTGTAGTATAATATCACTTCAAATATGATGCTGGACAGTTATTAAAATCGTGTGAAGGAAAACTTTTTTTACAAGTTAACACCATATCGCGTTTTCATATACAATTTAAAGGTTGTATGAAAGTTCTAAACACCGGTAATGCAAAGAATTTATTTCATGATCACTCGTCTTTACACCATAGGTTAAATATTTTCGCTTCCAAAAAATTTAATGCAGGCGCGTTTTTATTTCGATTGAATTGTTTTGAAACGATAACGAATTAGCGAGTATTTACTGCTGTCATTAATGTTGCTTTACATCTGTGGATACAAAAAGTAATCGGTAAAAATTTATAATGTTTTTAGTTGTGTAAATAAATATATTTACACTTTAATTTTCAAGTCTTTGTAAACTGTAAATAGCTTTATAATGCATATTTTCTATCCTCTTCTGCTCCGTTAAGCCTATTTCAAATTCGTCTTATTGTTTTCTCTATTACGCTTATATTTGATTTACAAACTCAACTCATTTTAAGAATTAGTGTATGTATGCAACCAAAATTACCAATTCGAACATATTTTTCTTGTAAAAATAACTTAACTGATTCTTAAGTGTATCATATCTCACTATAATTATAAATGTTAGTCTTAATAAATAACAAACTTGATGGATGCTAATTTACACTAAGTAGTGTAAGGGAACATTCTGGATATTTGGTGTAGTGGAACACTACTAAGGTGTTAAGTAGTTGTCGCCATATTTGGTGTTCAGATACACGGAAATTTTTACAGTGTTCTAACTAAGCTTTACATCTTAAGTAATTTATGCAAATAAAAATTTGGCTTCAATCTCATCTGGAATAGAAAGATATTCAAATGCTATACACTCCTTTAACATAGCTGAACATCACGTGGTACAATGGTGCCAAGAATTTTATTTATTCTAAAAAATAAACTACGAGGTAACAGCATAATATTTTCGAGATAAGTTTGATATTTAAAGTAACAGCTACACTATTTAGTAGCAGGCAGCCACATACAAAAGAAAGCGACAACGTAATAATTTCACTATAAGTATACAAAAAATAATAATAATGACATTTATTTCAACAAACAATTAGCTTACTTTATAGCTCTCTTCTCGCAAGGCATTCTCAGCTCTATTTTCACTTCTTTGATGATAAACACCCGCAAAAACACAAAGATTTAATATGAGTAATGAACATCCTACAATAATTGTCACACGCAAAGCTGTCATGTAATTGTCTTTTTGCACTACCACAGTATCTGATGAAGCCATACTTCCGGAAACATTTACTGATGTAGGTTCGGAAGATGTCTCTGAAAGCATTTGTTCTCCTGGAGCTGAGAAAGATGTCAATGATTCAGAAACTTGAGTTATCACTTTAACACCAGGACCTACTGTCGGTATAGGGAAATTAGATCGAGGCTTTACAGTGGGAGCCCGAGGTGGCATACCTAAAATGAAAAACAAATATGGAAAAGTTTGCTGGTAACTGAGAAGCTAATTGCTCTAAAATAATAATTTTAAAAATTTTATTGCTTTTTTATTTAATTATTTTCTTTCTTGGACTTAGAAAATAATATCCATCTGCTAAGAAAATGGGAAAGTATAATATACGTTCACTCATTTAAATTCAAAGCATAATTACTATTGACTAAGAATATTATTTATTTTCAACATACTTTAATCAAATATTGACTCATCTATGCAGCATACACTTTCATAGGCCAGTTTATAGCAATACATAGTATCTAACGCATGTCTTGTGCATTTAGTAACATGCCTTGGTGAGTATAAATTCAAAAACGTATTTTTTTATGCATATATACATTAATAACTTTTAAGCTATTAATTCTATTAACTTTTTTTTGGTTTCCTTTGAGTTAAAAAAAGGGAGAAAAAATGCCTAATGACTAAAGTAGGCAAACCTTTTGAAGAAAAGGGCAACAAAAGAAGTTATACAAAGCATTAAGTTGCACCAAATGTACCCCAAAGCAGATACTTACGTTACGACAAGATTAATTAAAAAACTAGTTATATTTTATAGACTGAAGCAAAAATGAATATTTTTAATTTTTCCAAAAAACCAAAGAAAAGTATTTTGTGATAAAAAAATCACCGATTTGGACAATTGATTAATGAAATACTTATATCTATTTAACCAATCATAATTTAACCATTATGGCATTGATAACATAGTGTATATGAATGGAACTTCAATCCCAGCATATCGAGTCATGACTGGGTAGCAGTGATATTATGTCCAATGTATCCCATTACTTTTACTCTTTTATTTCATTCAAGACAGACATTGATACCTTGTCGCCACTACCCAAAAGAGTAAGCGACAGAACTATTTACAATTACAAAAATTTCGCAATTTATGGGTATAATTGTATATAGCTCAACATTACAAATATATACAATTGTACAAATGTACAATTGTATATAGTTCTAATGTTGTGTAATAACCATAATTTTATCTGACAAAACACTGCACAGCTACAACCTTTCTAGCTCTTAATGAAATAAAATCATCGCAAAATAATTTGGTGAAAGTGCCAGAATAAGATAAGCGATGATAACTCAAATGATATTACTTACATATAATTTCTTAGTGAAGTATAAAGGAATATAGCGATAAGAAAATTTTAGAGTTCCCAATTTCTATTTTGCTGTCATAAGTCATAATAAGACAAACAAAATGCGAATTATACAGAAAGGGGGCTAATAATTTTAGATCCACATACGTGGCGTCAAGTCATCGTTAAGTATATTTCAAATGTTAAATTACACCTAAAGTAGGAACTAACGTGCATAATTATATTATTATATAATGGTCGATTTAAATTCAATGTTGAATAGCTATAATCATTCTTTAGAAAAAAAATTTGAGAAATACGAAGTTTTTGTTAATGAGATGCAATACCAAATAATTACTGCATAAAATCTCAGTTTCAAAACTATTTTAACTATGAAAACCATGCAAATAAATAATTATTGAAAATAATCTAACATTAACTATAAAAAAAATTTTATTCTTGGGAGCAAAATTTCAAAATTATTTAAAAAACACACAAAAAGTTAAGGTTATTAAAATATTACTAAATATATAAGGTAATATAAAGGTAATCAACCGTACCTAATTTCATCNATAAGGTAATATAAAGGTAATAAAAATATTACTAAATATATAAGGTAATATAAAGGTAATAAAAATATTACTAAATAGATATAAAATTTAAAATTTATAATACTATGAGACTTCACTTAACTACTATCCTGTCATAAATTTCGTACTACGTACACAGAAGTCGACCTGCATGATTGACTGCATTATTTTTAAATATTAAGTAAATATAAATTTAAAAGCCTCCTACTGATTACAGAACTACTGAGTCAAAAGAAAAAAACTATTTTCAGAATAACTAAAGTATATAATATTCAACACTTGACTCATTTTTCAAGCACGTAGATGTAGCGTGATCTTTTGAAAATCACTTCTGTATATGAGGAATTCTATCCAAATAACTTGAAGTCCCCAGGAAGCTCAAATATTAAAGAATGTTTCAGAGAGGGTAAAACTGTAAATTTTCTTATAGCGTGTTTTTAGAAGCTAAGAAGCTAAGGTCCACATACGTGGACCGAGGTAATGAAGAGGTTAATCAGGAATTTTAAATTGTGATATAAACTATGTTTGATTTATAAAATTAGGGGTGGGGGGAGAAACACTCTAAATGACAAGAATAAAAAGATCAATCGACTTTTTGAGGTCGTAAATCTAGAATTTACCCGAGGAGGATAAATTCCACGAATGGACAGATTGGCTTGAGAATTTCAACCGCTCAGTATGAGTACCAATCAAAATACCTCTGCTATATAAAGCAATCTCCTAGCATGTATTGCCTTAAAGAAAAATATTTCATTGTGTATTGGACAAAAAAAATAGTACTTTTTGTTAATACTGATAAAAACCACACAGTTTATAAATTTTTATATCGAAAACATTAAAAAAACATTGAAAAAATTCTAAGATTACATACTTTTCCTTAAAATAATTATAGTAATATCATGGATACTTGCAATAAGCTTATATTATTACCCAAACTTAAAGTCACCGAGAAATTATTTTATCCCTAATATATTTATTATGACTTGCCTCTGAAATATATCCACAAATATGCCAAAAACCAATATTATATTTGGTATCAAATCAAGATTTTATTTAATAAAGTGCGATATATACTTGCAAGACATAAAAAGATTAGCTGTCATGCAATGAGTAATATTACTTCTCTCTGGATCATTTTTATTTGCTCATGACGATAGGATGAAGCATTCGAATGAAATGAAATTCGAGATGAAGGTGAAAAGAGAAGTATTTTTTTTATTCTATATTTATTTCCCTTACTACTTTTTTTAGGGTTAAATTGAATATTTATTGAATAAAACGTACTTTGAGTGCCATTTTAATGAAAAAAGAAAAACTTCTAAGAGTATAATTTAAAAATTATTAGTCGATGAAATGTAATAAAGTTTACCTGAGGAAATGTAAATATGTTTTAGTAAGTATCTTCTTTGTAAAATTAAAATGTTTTATAAAGTAAGTATATTTAGTTTTCTTAAAATTATGTTAAGCTATTAGCCGTGATTTTTTTTAAATATCTGAGATGATATGGGATTTTAAATTTCTACTTCATTAGAATAGTTTTTTAAATATAATTTATCATAATTTTAATTTGGCTTCATACAATGGCTTTCATTGTTACGCAAATTATGAGCAATTAAAATATCAGCAAAAGCACTGTGATACGAGGTAAAGTGAATAAAAATAAAATAATTTCAAACTTCAAAAAAGTGTAAAAAAAATATTTGTTAAGGGGTTGCAGTACCCAAAAATGACCAATATTTCGATATATTTTTTTCATTGCTTAAAATATAACCTCAAACTATTTCAAATGCACAGAAAATAAATCATCTCTCTATCTACTTTTTTAAAAAAGTAATGAATGATTTTAGATTACACCTTAAACAGAAACTTGATCAGCAGACAGACTTTAAAGTGCTTTTTCTCATAGAGGATAATTTTTTGTGTTTTTATCTTAATTAAATCCCTAGGGAATTTCTTTTATTTAAGATAAAGCTTTGAAGTAAACTTTTTTACCTTAAGTATAATACACTTATTTAAACTGTGCATGGAATAATCATTTTATGTGGTATTACAATTTTTACAGTATGTTATATAATACCTAACAGGAATTTTTAACCTTTTTTCTACTTCTTTTCAAAATAATCTGTAAAAAATGTTCTAATTGATATATCAACAAATAAATGCACAAAATGAATGAATATTGGAAGCACTTAAAAAAAAAGGCTTTTGAAGATATGTTAAAATAAAAAGGCCTTAAGGATTTAAAAATTTTAATTTTTTCACTTTTTTTTAAATTATAAAAAAATTAAACAGTTTAATTATTTTTTGAGGATAAATTTATTATTATTATTTTTTTTTTAATGGCGGGCACTTGGAGCTATTGTCCATTGGCCACAGAAAGTGCCAGAACTGCTAATTCTCTTTTCGTTACCCAGTGGGCACCTGTGGCGAAGCCACGGCGGTGGAACAGCGTCGCCCACGTCACACTACCACAACCCGTTTATAGGGCGGATCACATTCACACATTCACACACAAAGGAGAAAGGAAGGGAAAGAAACATCCATGCCTTGCCCGGGATTCGAACCCAGAACCTTTCTGATGCAAGGACAGGGGATAAATTATTGATTATAAGTTAAATGAGCATGTAAAGCATAAACAAAATTAATGTTTATACCTTTATTTAAAAAATGTTGCAAGGGTACTGTGACCCCTTAAAATACACGTATGCATGTCGCTTTATACACAATGAATATGGTTATGGTAAGAACTTTGTTAGTAGCACTCATCGTAAAAAAGTTTAAACACAAACTTATTTTCAGGTTGAAAGTTAATTATCCAAGATGTATACTCAATTTTTTAACTTTTTATTTCAAATTTTTCAACGTGAACTGGTGACGAAATTCGATATTTTATATGCTTGTATTATTTTTTTAAAATGTATTTATTATTATGTATTTAATTCCGTTTGTATACATCAAGCTTTAAAAAAAGTTTACCACATTAAAATATGACAGTGCGTAGTGGGCAAAAAAGAGAGTACCCTGAACAACTTTTTTCACTTTGAATTTATTTTGGTTTTGTGAACCTCAAAAAAAAGGGGCCGCAATCTTAAAAATATAGTCCCGAAAGTTTAGTTAGGAAAACAAACGAAAAGTTTAATCAGGAAAGAGATTTAACTTTTTCAGTAATTCGCTATATATCGAGAACTTTTAAAGCTAATAAGAAAAATTTACACATAATTATAAACTTTGTTGAGCCAAAAATAATTCCATTTATAAAAATAATTTTAATTACTATTTACATAATTTATTATTTTATAATTTATTATTATATAATTTATTATTATATAATTCATTATTATATAATTTATTACTATATAATTTATTATCAGATAAATTATATAAAATGATTGCATAAATAATTATTATTTTAATAATTATTTCTATAGTTATAAGTATTATTATATGTTTGCAATTGTCAAGGCATTATTATATGTTTGCAATTGTTTTAAGGCATAGAAATGTTTGCATTATTTTAAAGTTTGCAAAGTTAAATGATAATATACAAAACTTGAACTTTGCTGAGTAGTATTCTGCTGACTTGTTGTTAAAATGCCTTAATTTCTTTCTCGAGAATTGCTTTTTAAGTGATTAAAATTAATCATATTAGAAATGCTCAATTCTCCTTGTTCAAACTTTGATTGATGCAATTCAATATTCAACTTGCTTACTTCTTTTGGCAGTTATATGTAAAGACAAATATTTGAACTCACCTAGTGCAGTCAATACTGGTCCTTGTCGAACTATACCATCATATGTTGAAGGATTGTCATGGTCATCTAGTAGATGATGTTGCGTTGCTACACCAGGAGTTACCCCTTGTCGGTGAAGCTTTGGAATCAGACTTAACCAGAAAGATAGTCTATGAGCGTGGTAATGATCTCTTATTTTTGGTTTCATAGCTAAAAATAAAAATATATATCATCATAAAAGAGTTCAGTTTATGATCTTGATTTTAAAGAATATAAAAACTGTTAATGTAAAAAAAATTTCATAGACAATAGAAACGCAGTCGCTTTGGTTCATTGGCTATGTTTTTACTAACTTATAATACTAATGTAGCATGAAAATCATGACTGTGAAATTTTTGCATAATCTATTGTTTTACATAAGCGTGACAAGTATAGGCATATTTGATAGTATTTTCTGAGAAAAAAATTAAAGCTCACGAAAAAGATACAGGATACGCGTTTGGTCAGTAGACTTCTGCAAATTTAAGGGAAGGATTTTGTCAAAATTGTGCTATCCACACTCGCAGACATGATATGCATCATCGTTCAAAATATTTAATTTAAACTCAGAAAAAAGTTGAGTTGAAAGCTGTTTTTAATAACACAAAGGCAGACATGCTACGATAAACAATACATTAAAAACGATTAGAGGTAAAGTACTTAATACAATTTTTTCTTTATAAAATACATGAATTCTGCAAAACAATGTACAGGTACTGAGCGCAAAATAAAAAAAAGATATCACCCAGAATAACATTCGTTCTAATGAGTGGATTTTCACGTACAAAGTGTAAATCTTAACGGTTCATAGGGGTAACTTTAAATATGTTAATTTATTAATGCTAATTAACTTAAGCTAGAAAATCAGACACAAAAACACATTTTCTCTGAATAAACATTTTTTTTACATTTTTGGATTGCCGACCCTCAAAATAAGGGTGTAGCCACAATCTAGAATTTGTGCTCCTAATAGTTTAGTTAAGAGAGTGGTTGAACCCTTAATGTTAATAATTTCACATATTGCGTTTTTCGTTATATCTTTAAATCTAATTGCCCAGTTGAAAAAAAAGAAATTGCAGTCACTCATGAAAGTTGCTTACCCAAAGATAATTTCAAGCAAAAATAATAATTTTTTATAATTATTTTTTACTTTTGTATTATTTTTTTATTATTTAATTTAATACGGGAGAAAATTTTCTTTAATTATGAACCATACGCTTTTTATACCGTATTAATATACGTATTTTATTTTAGTGAAATCTAAAGTTTCAATATTTTTTATAAAGTAAAAGCTGAAAAAAGTTAAAATTAACTATTTTTGAAAAATTATTTAGTGACAATAAAAAAAATATTTAAGGGGAGCGGTTAATGCATAAATTTGGTAAACTTAAAAGGAACTTGACTTTCATTCATGATTTACCGTTTTTTTTATTCGATATCATTTTCTTTTCTTAAATATTAAAAAAAAAATATGATGTTTCTTTTTAAGCGATCTGCTAATTTGTACTTAAATTAGTAAAGATATTTGAATAAAATATTATATTTAGCGAATGTCAAGTTTTTTTAAAACATGTTTTTTATTGAATGTGGTTGCGCATCTGCTCTTTTTAGTTTCAGTTTTTAATTAATGCACTCCACGATAGATTCAATTTCAGTAATATGCAAAAGTATGTATTTATACGGAAATATAGATTTATCAATTGTTCAATATATATTTTAATAACTAAATAGCAAAATAAATAAACGAAGATACTAGTTATTTAAAAAGTATCTTTATATTATCTTGAACTATACTATTGTGACATCAACAACGATTATTTGAAATATTGTTGACATTTTTAAAGTAACTACAAAAAGTATAAATATGCCAAACATAAAGCGCTGCCAAATATATAGTAAAATTTTTTAAATGTCATAAAATATCTCAGTATCTTATAGATCGTCCTGCAATCTTAATTTCAAAATTAATTTCGTAATTTTAATTACTGGGCCATGTGTGATTCACAAAACTATTCAACCAATTATTTTATTATATTTTTACATTTTTCAAATTCACTTTTTCTTTATGCTCCCACGTAAATTTTTTTCCCGATAATATACTAATATGTTTTATTAGATTTTTATTAGTTCTTAAAATTTTTCTAATATTGTCTAAATAATTAACAAGTGTTTTCGAGTCTCAGAACTATAATCAGTTATCTGATAAGAATACAAGAGTGTTTTGCTATTTTAAAATGACTCGATGCAAAACGTCTGACTGATCGTATTAAATAAAAGTACACTTTTTCTCTAAGAATCAGCAAACGAATTATTTATTTATTTACTTTATTAGTTCTTATTAGTTAAATTTGAGAAACGTAAATGCATATTAGTGTAACTCAAAATACCGCAACTATTTTCTTTATTTTTTAAATGAACAAATTCGAACCGCAATTTTATTTTGACTTTTAAGCTTATTACACCGTTAACTATAAGAAAACTGCTCTTTCAAAAAAAAGATGTTGATTGAATGTTTTTAAAAAATAATGTAAAAATATGCTTCTTAAAATGATTTTTCAACTTCAGTACAATTCACAAGATATTATTATAGTGTAATTTCTAATCAGGAAAAACAATGGCTTGACCAGTTTTCGAAGATATTACCTTTTTTAGTGAAACATGAAAACACTACCTTTTAATTGGCGTTTGATCCTGCTATCATTTTATCAGTACTCGAACGCACTATCATTTGAGCAAGTACTGATACCACTACTTTTTTGTTGGTACTCAAACCTATTATGACCTACTTTAGAACCCACAACAATTTGATCAAAAATCGTACCCACTATCATTTAATGAATATTCAAACCCACTATCATTCAATCAATACTCGAAACCATTACAATTACCCGCTGCCTTTTAATCGGTACTTGTTTCCGCTATTATTAGAGCAAGTATCGAACCCGCTACCTTTTTGTCGGTAATCGAAGCTATTATGACCAACTTTAGAAACCACAACAATCTGATCAAGAATCGTACCCACTGTCATTTAATTAATATTCGAACCCACTATCATTTAATCAATACTCAAAACCAATACAATTTTATCAGTACTGGAGCCTACTATGTTCAGAACAAATTTCGAACCCACTAAGTTTTTAGCGATATTTGCTCCCTCTACCTTTTAATCGGTACTTGTTCCTGCTATCATCTTGAGCAAGTATCGAACCCATTACCTGTTTGTCGGTACTCAAACACCTTATTACCAGTTTTCGCAGCCAGTATCATTAGAGTAAGAATCGAACAAACTACCTTTTTGTCGGTACTTGACCTTTTCGCTTGTTTCTATGAGCAGCTATCCCATAATAAATACTCTCTGTAAATTCTAGATCCACTGTTTGAAATAAAAGAAGTCGGACACCAACCCCAGATAAAGGGAGTGCTTTCCATCCACCTCCCCTACCCACCCGCCCTAGTTCTACACTGTCTCTTCGTAAAAAAATTTATAAACTTTTACTGGTAGTTTCCATCAAATGAATTTTCCATTTATATGAAATTTTACTTGTTTCACTTTATTTACAAATATATTTATTCTAATCACTTATTAATGTTTAAACGTTTATATTTGGGTTTATAGTCTTGGTTATATAGTTAATAAAATGAATTATTAAAGATTATTTCAAAAACATTATTACCTTTTTATAGAAAGTACTCAAACCAACAAGGTTTGAAATTACTACATTTTATCGTTTCATGGACCAGCTATCATTTAATCAGTGTGCGAACCCTCTCACTTTTTATCGGTACCTGGTGCTCCTATCATTTTATCAGTACTTTAATCCGCTATCGCTTGAGCAAGAATCGTACCCACTATCATTTTATCAATATTCGAACCCACTATTATATAATCAATAATCGAACCCACCATCGAATCAATAGTTGAACCAACTACATTTTTATTAGTACTCAAACCTACTATAGTTGGACAAGTTACCAAACCCACTAACGTTTTAGCGGAACTCTAACCCGCTACTTGTTGATCGGTACTTGGATTCACAATCATGTAATCTGTACTCCAATCCAAGCAACTGTCGTTTGAGCAAGAATCGATTATTTAATCAGTTCTCGTACCCGCTATCATTTTATCAATACTCGAGCTCACTACTTTTTTATCAGTATATGAACCTGCCTACTATGTCTAGACCAAATTTCGATTCCACTACCTTTTTAGCGTTACTTGAACCCCCTACCTTTTTGTTGGTATCTTGTTGGTATCATTTGAGCAAGTATCGAACCCACTTTATTTTTGCCGGTACATGAACCCATTATTACCACTTTTCGTAAAGAGCAAGAATCGAACCCACTACCATTTTGTCGGTTCTCGACCTCTTCGCTTGCTTCTATGAGCCGCTAAAACGATCATCACATGATAAATGCACCGTGTAAAGGTTAGATCCATTCTTTGAAATGAAAAAAAAGTCCGCCACTAACTACAAATGAAGAAAGTGCTTACCCACCCGCCCTAGTTCTACACTGTCTCTTCGGAAAAAAAATAATAAAGTTTTACTGGTATCTTCCATCAAATGAATTTTCAATTTATCTGAAATTGAACTTGTTCTGCTTGATTAAAGAATAAATTTATTCTAATCACTTATAAATGTTTAAATGTTTATATTTGGTTTTATATCATTGGTTATTTAGATAATAAAATGAATTGTTATAAATTATTTCAAAAAAATTACTAACTTTTTATTTGAATGAGTCGAACCAACTATGGTTACACCAGTTTTCAAGCCTACTACATTTTTATCGATACTTGGACTGGCTATCCTTTCATCAGTACTCAAACGTGCTATCATTGGAGCAAATATTGAACCCACAAACTTTTTTTTCGTTACTAAAAGGCTTGAGTAACGAAATCAGTTATGATCAGTTTTTCAACCCACTACGATTTGCGCAAGAATCATATCCCCCATCATTTAATGAATACTCATTCCACTATCATTTAAGCAATACCCGAACCTACTGTCATTTATTCAATACTGGAACTTACTATTGTTTAGCCGATACTCGAACCCACTACCTTTTTATCAGTAATCGAACCTACTACAGTTAGAGCAGTTTTCTTACCCACTACCTTTTAATCGGTAGTTTCACCCTCCATCATTTAATCACTGCTTGATCATGCTTAA